TTATATTATATAAATGTAATGATATTTCTGTAATATATTGTAAATTAGAAGGGTATTTGTAATATTAGGTACATAGTATAGTTACTAGAAAAGAAAATAGTTTTGTTATGGGACGTATCAAATTAAAAAAATAGATAGTTTGTTAAGGCCGAAGTATTTTTATTTATAAAAATACTATTCAATACTATTCTGTAATTTATAAATTGTTATGCTATAATAGTTTTTGTTAAATCAAATATGCTAAATACTAGTATTAAATATGAAGTATTTTTATATTAATATTTGTACCATTTCTATATTGTTCACTCCGTCCGTCAAATTTATTTTTACTTTTCTTTTTAGTTCATCCACTAAATTTATCTCATTACTAATTTTGAGAAAGTTAACAAATCAACATTTAATTATTACTCTACATTCAATACTTATTTACAACAAATACCACTAACTTTATTATATTTTCTCTGTTTATTTACTTTACTTTTTAATTAAATTTTCAAAAATATCTTCAACTGCCTATCATCTTTTCGATAAAATATTCATTTTTTAAAAAAAAAATTATGCCGAATACAAATGAACTAATTTTAATGGACGGAGGGAGTATTAATTACCTTGAAATAACAATAAAATATGTATTACACTATAAAAATAATACTCCCTCTGTCCCATAATAAAGTATACATTTTTTCATTTTAGTCCGTCTCATAACAAAATATTCATTTTTTTTTAATAACTGTATTATCTACTTAACATTACAAATACCCTTACAATTTACAATATATTACACAAATATGATTACCTTTATATCACACAATACTAATAAGGTTATTTTAGTAATTTCTACTTTATTCCTACTAAATCATAATATAATACTAATATTTTTAAAACTTCCTATAAAAAGTAAACGGATACCTAATTATGAGATGGAGGAAAGTACGAAGTATGTCAATTTTGTTGTTTTCTTAAGTTTGACCGTTATTTATTGGAAGCTTGAGGAATAGTGTGTGGAGTTAAATACAAGTTATAATATCCAGAGCATATGCTCCTAAAAATCTAAATGCATTTTTAAGTATATAAAATTTTAATGTATAATTTATATTCAATAAAAAAAATAAATAAATGCATATTGTATACTAAATATAGATATGTTATATAGTCCGTAAGGAATGATCTGATGGTACAGGGGTTGGACTTGTGATCGTAAGGTCATGTCAAACATAGTTCGCCTGTGCAGGGCAATTATATAAATTTGATTACATATAATTTAAGACCACCAAAAAATATATACAAAATTCCTATCATAATATATTGTACTCCTTTTTTCACTTTTTTTTTTTATTATTATTATTTTTGTCATTTAAAATTATTCCAATTTCTATTGTTAGTAAAAATATACTATTTTTTTTTTTTTTACTTTTCGTTTACTCTAAAAATAAAAATCTATATTTTTATATATTTTTCTTAAAATTTGTATCCAATCAAATGAAATATAATTGAATGACGAAAGAAATATGATGGATCGGGTATGACTAAATTTAAGATCCGACTTAAATAAGTATCACTAGACTCGAAATCTTAATTGGACCAAATTAATCTAATATATACCCAATAAGATCAATAGACTTGAAATACTTTAGCATCTATGAAAATTTGTTTTTTTAATAACTTTTAATTTATTTAATAATTTTTAACTGTTTAATCAAAAAAGAAAACAAATATAAATATTTGATAAATCAACTTTTGAAATAATCTATTAAACCTAAAAGGCTTGATTTTGAAATAATGTCATTTTAAAATAGGTTTTTTCACTTTAATTTTCACTATTTTTTATTTGTCTCTAAAATTAATTATTATTAATATATTTTTTATTGAAAGATATTTCCTTCGTCCCATATAAAATATTCATATTTTTTATTTTTGTTTGTCCTACATAATTTATTATTTTTTAAAATAATATAATTATACATTTTAACCCATTTTAAAATTTCATTAGTTATAATTTTTTTAATCTTAATTAAATTATTTAGATATTTTAATCTTAATTTATAATTATTTTTATTATATTATAATTATTTTTACTAATATGTTTTTTAATTATTTATTAATTATATTTTACCTAAAATTTCATATCGGACATATTACAGAAAACGGAGAAAGTATATTAATTATTTTAATACATTTCTTCTAATAACATATAAATTATATAAAGTTAAAGTAATTAAAATTATTTTACTATGTAAAGTATTTTATTTATAATTTTTTTCATCTATTTAAAAAATAAATATATTAGTAATTTATTTATACATCTTTTACACATAATTTTTTATTAAAAATGAATATAATAATATATATTTATTTAAAATTATAAATTTAATGAAAATAGATAAATTAAAAATTAACTTAATAAAAATAAATATAGGTATATAGTTTTTACATTTTATATTATTTTTAATAAAAATTTCATATTTTCAATGTAATATATATTAATTTATTATAAAATATTTTAAAAATAACAAAAACAAATATTTTTTTTAAAAAAATTCATAATTGTTAATAACTAATTTTAAAAATTTTAAGAAATCTTATACATCGAAACAATACCATTAAATATCTTGAATTATCATTTTATATATAAACTACTCACAATTATCTTATCAAATATCTTAGCACATATAGTTAATATATTCAATTAATCATTAGCTAATCGAATAGTTTACAACTAAAAATAAACAACTAGTTTCAAACATTCCTCTAGACTAAAAAATATTTCCTCCGTCTCATATTTATATATCAATTTACTTATTGCACGAAATAAATATAAAAGACTAAACTAACCTTTTTAGTATTATATGATATAAATATAATGACATTTGTGTAATATATTTTAAATTGGAATGGTATTTGTAATGTTAGGTAGATAGTACAATTACTAAAAAAAGAAAATAGATATTTTATTATGAAACAGATCAAAATGAAAAAAATGAATAGATTGTTGAGAGACGGAGAGTGTATTACTCTCTCGGTCCATCAAATGTAAGATTTATTTATTTATACGTTCAATATTCTACTTATTTACATATATGCCACCAATATCTATACAATCAAATATCCAAAATCAATTAATATAATACTCTTTTTGTCCCGCTTAATTTGTAAACTTTTTCTATTTCCGTCTGTAGCACATCATTTGTCATTTTCTTTTTAAAATATAATTATACATTTTAATCATATTTTAAAATTTATAATTTTTTTATTTTAATTAAATTATTTAGTAATCTTAATTTATAATTATTTTTACTAATATATTTTTTTATACTAATTATAGAATACCTAAAATTCTGTACTTAAATTAAATGAGCAATTTAATTGGGACGAGGAGACTAGTATTATATTTATTAGAATTTATATCCAACTCGTTAGCACAAAACAACGGAACATAGGGGGGCTAGGGGTATCCCAGCGCCCAAAATGTGTCTACGAGAGCGGTTTTTTTGTGTTTTAAATTTAAAAATAATTATTTTATATATTTTTAATAATTTGCTCCAGGTTTTAAATTTTATTTTCAATTTTGTGTAAAAAACAACAAAATTTATTTTTTATTTTATTTTATTTATTTATTTATTATAATGTAAAAATTCGCAACCGCTACTCGTCGAGTGTCCTTTGAGTAAATTTTCAACTGAATCTAATTTCGACATACTACAAGCAATAAAATTTATTTTTTTCAACTACATGCACATGGTTCTTGTCCCATTTTTTTTAACCGTTGCATAGGTTCAGTTTCTTTAGACAAATTTCTCTAAAATTTTACTATTTGGATCCTATATTTTTCAAAAATATATATATATTTATAAAATATCCTATCAATATTATTTTAATACCTAATCAAAACCAAATTTCTTCAAACTCAACTATAAGGTGACGTTTGATACAGAGAATTGGATTTTAAAGAAATGAGAGTAGATAATAGAATTGGAGAGAAATAGAATTGAGTAAAAAATAATTCTCGTTTGATAAAAACAGATAATTCAGTTGAGAAATGTAAACAAAAATACAGTTATATGAATTGATAAAAAAAAAAAAATGATTAACCGGATAAAAAAAAAGTTTTAACGAATGAAAATTAATGAAAAATATTTTTGGTGATTTTTTTTTAAAAAAATTATAAATTATATACAATATTTATTAAGATTATATTTTAGTATAATTTCTTAAACAATCGTAAAAATTAAATACTTAAACAATAAATTAAATTTGATTTTGTAAAATTAAAATAATACAATTTTAAGAAAAAATATAAAAATTAAATAGTACAAAAAATTAAAAAAACTATACTGCAACATTATTTTTCTTTATTTCTCTCAATATATGAGAGAAATGAAAATATAGAAATAGAAATTATTGATATATATTGTAATATATATCTATATTTATTTTAATATATCAAATATGAGAGTGTCAATTTATATCATTTATCTGACTCAAACAAATAAAAAAAATGAAATCATTTCTACTTTTCTGATCTCATTTATTTGTTCCAAAGATACCCTAAAAAACATACCAATTCCTCGTCCTTTCAAACTTAAAAGCTAATTTTGTTACAATAATGAGCATATTTATTTATTTATTTATTTTTTTTATGAAGGGAGAAAGTATATATAATACACGACTCATATATTAGGCCCAAATTAAATAAATTGGATCCGGTCGAGTGTTGGATCTATCTGAACTCAATTTTATCCCTATATAGTATAATATTGGTCCCACTAATTTTGTCATTTAACATCTTTTTTCTATTATTAGAAATTTGTCATTTACCATTGTTTTCGTACCCTGTCGTTTTCTTCTCTATAATTATACACACACTGCATTTGGCTGCTGCTGAATTTATTATTATTATTTTATTATTATTAACCCATTCAATTTCTTGTAACACTAAGCCTATGACTGCTCCATTTGTCACTTACAATTCATATAAAAAAATTCAATTCCTAAAAGTCCATACATACATACATAATATATATATATATATCTTCCCCTAACAAATCTCAAATCTCTTTATGAACATAACAAAAATGAACCCTTCAAACACTACACAAGTTCCATCATTCTTAACCTTATTTTTCGCAATTTTCTTCGTCGTCGTCGCGGCGCAATCTTTGTCCGAGAATTGCATCGGGTCATCTTGGAATGACCCGAGTCGCGGGGATGGCAATTGGGGCGGATTTTTGAAAAACACCACTTGTGCATCGCCATTTGAACGTTATTTATATGCGCTCGCAAGAAAAGCAAATCAAACCGAAGAAATTTTCCCCAGTAGTCGAGAGCAAGAGGAGTGTTTGAGTAGAATAGAAGATGGATTCGGGTGCGGCATTGAGAGGTTGAGTAATGGTCAGGATGGATGTTCGAATTATACGGTTAGGGATGTCGAGGATAAACTTGGAGGCGAGTTGCGAGAATTGGACAAAAGTTGTAAGAATTTGGGGCCGGATAGCGAGTGTGGCGAGTGTGTCACGGCGTGGGAGAAGATTTGGCGATCGGGTAATGAAGGAAATAAATTGTGCACGTTTGCGGTGCTCGTTTTGTTAATGAGTCGAAGAGTTGAAGATACCAGATGGATACAGAAATTATATGATTGTCTTCGAATATGTAAGATATACTCTCTTCTCATTTAATTTTTTTTTTTTATTTTTTTTTGCTTGTCATTTAAATTTCTTTTCGTTTTGTTTTTTTAGTAAAAAAATACCATTTTTTTTACTTTTTTTTTATTCTAAAAAGTAAAAAAAAAAATATTTTTACCTATTTTTATTAAAATTTATTTTCGATCAAATCAGCACACAATTGAATGATGAAACAAGTATTTATTTGTGTTTCCATATAAATACTATTCAGAATACAATAAATTTTTTTTTTAATAAAAAGTATTCAATACATTTTTTAAATTAAAATGTTTTATTTAGATTTTATTTTTTATTGAAGCTATTTTACAAAATTTTCAAATACAAATGGAAACATTTAATTTAGTTAATTTTGGGCATAGTTTTATGTTTTGAAGTTCAATTATTATCGCATAAATTGTACAAGACTATTGTTTTGGGACGGACAAAATGGTAAATAAGACTATTGTATTAAAACAGATGAAGTATTATTTATCAATGCTATATTTTGTTTTACACATAAATATTCAATTTTTATCATGTTCAATTTTATTTTTTTTGAACTTCAAAAACAAAAACCTCTATAATTAAATGCCAAAACTATTATTCAATTTGTTGAATTATTTGATTTTATATATTCCTAAATTAACATATTTTTCAATAATTTGTGGCTATATTTGTCTTTGAAGTTGGATTTTATTAGGTTTGTCGTTATAATTTATTACTCATTTTACACAACAGCTGTTAATCATAGTGAGAAAAAACACGGAAAGAAGCCGGCACTCGTTACAGGTATATATTTATTTCTTTATTTATTTAAATTACACGTAGACGGTAGTAGCTGTTATGTGTTAACTATGATTAGTTAATACATTAATGACCATACATAATATATATATATATATATACACACCAGTAGCAAATATTATATAAATTGACAGTATAAAATTTAAATATTAATATTATACAAAATATAAATAACGATAAAATAATCTGTATATCAAATATGACAATTGATTTAATTACAAATATATTAACACAATATAAATAAAAAACTAGAACAAACAGCACATGCTAACATTTTGTACAATATATATATTGTAAAAGTAGATATATTTGGAAAGATATTTGATTGTTATATTTGAAATTTTTTAGAAATTTTTATTATAGATATAATTTTTTTTTTTTTCTGAATCAAATATTTTTGTTTATTTATTATATTACATTAAAGATGATTTATATTCGAAATATATTATATTAAAATTTATTTATATTATATCAATTAATTATTTAAATTTAAAATTTTACTATTAAAAAATTCACAGTTTTTTACTGTCATAAAAAAAAAGCATTTTTTTTTTAATTTTCATATATATTTTTATTATTAAAACTAAAAAATAGACTATTATCATGTCATTCAAATTTGTACTCAATTTTTTTTGTAAAATACAAAAGAAATGAACACAAATTTTGATGATGGAGGAAATATAATTATTACTCATTTACCTTAGTCCAAAAATGAATAAATTTTTACATAACAAAATGACTGTTTTTAAAATTATATTGTAATAAATATAATAAATATATACATAATTTTATAAAAATAAAGAATTTATATTAAGTAAAAATTAAAATAAAATATTAATAATATAAATTAATTTTAAGATAGTTAATATATGTTCTAATATTAATAAAAACTCAAATTAAAACCAAATAAATTTTTGTGAAATTAAAAGACATCTAAACCTCCGATACCTCCCCTTTTTGTCTGTTGTATACGATTCGCTTAGTGTGACTTGCTTTTCTTAACCTAGTTTGCAAGACTATTAGATTCAATCGAAAATTTACCCAAAATACTTAAAAGAAATTATTGTTGGTAATAAATAATGCTATTTTTTAAAAATATATATCAACAAAATATAGGATAAACATAACTAATTTGAAATTAATTATTATTGCCCTCTGCCGTGGCCACTTTACTACACCAAAATTTAGAAAGAAAATAATTAGCAAATAATTATAAATATATTAGTGAAAATAATTATCATATATTATCTCTATCCGGCTTTAAGGATCTCATTGTGCGTTGATATTTGAATATTAATTATTATATCAAAACGTAGTACAAATTAAAAAAAAAAATTGCAAAAATACTTTTATTAGTATTTTCTAATATTAATAGAAGAACATTTGTATAAAAAATTATACAAATATAAGGATATTTTTAATGTTACGTACAATAATGCAAACAAAAAGTAAATGTGACTCTTAGAGGCGGACGGAAGAAGTAATATTAAGATTAAAATAATTAATCAATTTAATTTAAATTTTAAAAAAATAAAAATTAAAAATTTTAAAATAAAATTAAAATGTATACTTCTTTTCTAAAAAAAATGACAAAATAAATGAGACAAACAAAAATAAAAAAAAGAAAAAAAAAAGACTATAATAAATGGGATGGAGAGAATATTATTATTATTATTATTATTATTATTATTGTTACTATTATTATTATTATTATTATTATTATTATTATTATTATAACGTGGTGTATTTGCTTTGCTTTCTTTTTCTTTGAAAAAAAATGACATAATCTTTTTTTTAATATTATTTACAAAATAAAATTTATATTAAAAAATAAAATAAAATTCCACATCCTATTTTCTCCTTACCTTTCAAAATACTTATAGGCCTTGAAGCACTGCTCGGCACTGTAGGCGGAATATTGCTAATATCAGCGATCATATGCCTACTTCTGTTCCAAAAACGACCCCGTATCCGAACCCGAGCTCGAAAAACTCCACCTAAAGAAGTTGAACGTAAGATTCATTTTCTTCTTTCTCTTCTCTTCCCTTTCCCGATTAAAAAATAACCGAAAAATGAATGATAACAATAAATAAATAAATTTCCCCTCGCCAGCATGCTACGACCCTTTTTCCCAAAACTCCGGCGCCATAAACGTCATCTCGCTAAAAGAAGTTTATCTCGCCACGGACAACCTCAGCGCATCGAACTTCATCGGCCAGGGCGTCGCAGGTACTTTCTAACCCATCCCATTTCACCAATGCAAAACACGAAAAATCTTAGTTTGCAAGGAATTAGGTTCGATCGGGGGTTCGCTCAGTGCGCACTCCCGAATAGTAGCTGCGGGTTCCCATTTCATTAAAAAAAAAAAAAAACGAAAGAAAGAAAAACAACATAAAATCGATTGTGTTCTTTTTCCTTCAGGGAAAGTATACAAAGGCGTTTTGTCGAACGGGCAGCGAGTCGCAGTGAAGCGCATCGTCAACGACGGCCACATTGAGACGTTCGTTAGAGAAGTGACCAATCTATCGCGCGTCAAGCACCCGAACTTGGTTGAGTTAATAGGCCATTGCGACGGGCGCGAAGAGAGCTTTCTAGTCTACGAACTCTGCGACAACGGGAACCTATCGGAGTGGCTATTCGGTAAAGACAAGTTTCTAACATGGATTCAAAGACTTACGATAGCTATCGACTGCGCCAAGGCCCTATGCTTTCTTCATACATATCTAGACGGTTGCATTGTTCATCGGGACATTAAGGTGAGAACTATCTACCATCATTTAAAACATGTAGTAAACAATGCAATTAGAGTTTTTAAACGAATCAAGTCGTTCATGAACTTAGCTCAGTTCGACTCAGTTTAAGCTCGTTCGCGAACGTAAACGAGCCAAGCTGAACAATATAAATAAGCTCGTTTTTGTTAACGAACGAGCCTAAATGAGCTTATTCGAACCAAACACGAACATAGGCTCGAACAATAAAATTGCTTAACAAACTGAGCTGGAATTTTTAACAAACGAACACGAATCTTATTTGTGAATGTTAATGAACGTACACAGACACTTAAAATTCTGTTCGATTCAGCTCGTTAACAGCTCTATGCAATCCTAATGAATTTTTAATTAAATCGATATCTAGCCGACAAACATCCTTCTTCGCGATGGGTTTCAAGCGAAGCTATCTGATTTCGGGCTATCCAAAGCGATCAACAAGGAGCTTTCTTATGTGAGCTCGGAAGTTCGAGGAACATTTGGCTACGTCGATCCCGAGTACCAAAAGAATCACCATGTTCATTCTTCGTCGGATGTCTATAGTTTCGGCGTAGTTCTACTACAGCTTCTATCAGGACAGAGGATTATCAATCTAGAAGTCGCGACACCTATGACTTTAAGTAAAATGGTACGGTACGGCGCTAGTGTTCTTCTATTCATTACATATCCTAATGTTTTTTCGAGCTAACTACTTCTCTATTTTGTATGATTGATCGTTTCGCAGGCTAAAAATGTAAGAAAGAGCGGAGATATATTGGAATTCGTGGATCCAAAGCTAAACGGAGAGTATTCGAGGGAGGCTTTTCTAATGATATTGAAGCTAGCTTTGTGTTGCACGGGGCCTAAGCAGCATCGCCCGTCTATGGACAAAGTTGCTGCCGTGCTACACAAGGCTTGCCGTATATCAGAGGAAGACGAGTTCCTTACCCCATCATTTCAGTCGGCATAAATACATCTATATGTTCGGGACATTGTCCAAATACGACATGTTAGAAAGAACACGATGTAAATGCAACAGAACAGGTATTCGACAGATTCTATTGATTGAAATTCATGCTTACAAAAAATACCACAATAGAACGATGAAATTATCTCAAATATATACAAAATCTAGAGTCATACTCCTAAAGTTTCATTCTATTTGTAACTTTTAGCCATATCCTAAGACATTCCGAATGATTCAAAGTATAAAAGTTAGCGCAACGAGGAGTATAGTGACTGTTCTTAAAACAAAGACGAGCAATGCCCTTAATTCTGTTCCTATAGTTTTCACTATCCTTATCATCTAGGATTCTCGGGATACTTGAACTAAAACACACGAAAACAGAATGAAACATCATTATTCGATTTTATAAATACCAGCATATCAAAGAGTCAAGATTCATCGAAGGAAAACAAGCGGGATTATTTCATCTATCCTATAAAACTCAAGTTCTTCGAAATTCTTAGAAGGCTTACAACCATGCCGGATTTGTCACAGGATTAACGACTGCCTTGACTTGCAGGTAATTCGTCAGACTGTATATGCCCTTTTCCCTTCCAATCCCGCTCATTTTATATCCACCGAATGGAATTGCAGCATCAAAAGTATCAAAGCAATTAATCCATACCGTGCCAACTCTGAGAGCTCTCATCAAGGTGTTGGCAGTGTCTAGGCTTTGAGTGAACACTCCGGCTGCAAGACCATACCTGGAGCTGTTCGCCCTTCGAACCACATCACCGAGATCCCTGTAGTAGCAAATGAAAATTAAGAAATTATTTGACCTGTAAATGGATTAAGTATCATGCACGTTAGATTCTTGCAACATACTTGAACTTCAAGATACTCTGCACTGGTCCAAATATTTCATCCTGTGCAATCGGCATGTCATCCTGAAATATTCTCAGTATATGACTGTATAATTAGGGATAGTCCATAGATATAGAAACCTAATATACACATTTTAGCTAGGTGACGTATATACCTTGACATTGGAGAATACAGTTGGCTGAATGTAATACCCCTTTGTACCAAATCTATCTCCTCCGGTTTCAAGGGTAGCTCCGGATTCTTTGCCATATTTAATATACTTGAGAATCTTTTGAAATTGCTCTTCATCGATCTGGTGTTCACAAATAATAGACAATTTGCATGAGATAAATGGTACAAATTAAGACCTGTTCTTTCTCGAAATATTTACTTGTTATTAGCATCTGAGGAGACGACAATCAGAAACGATCCGAAGAAGACAAAGAAAACACTCGTGCTTCAACCATTGAAAGCAGTTTGAATGTGGTTTAAAACCCCAGCTGTACTTCAAATCACTTAACAAGATAAGTTGTCAACTGGAAGTGGAAACATTTTATTGTTTATAGCAGCTTCTTGATTTCTTAAAATAAAATTCGCGACGCATAGATGATAGATGATTCCCTTAGACATAATATATCCCCAATGTCACTAAGAAGTGCAATTATAGAGAAATTCAATATCCAAAAAGCCATAATTAGCATACTTCTAATTGACATTTCTTTGAAAACATTTCAACTGCTATCTTTTATTCAAATCTAACTCATGATTGTGTTTTCAACTAGAAGTTAAAAACTGAAGAATTTGTAAGCACTAATTATAAATAGAGTATGCTTATAGGTACAATGAACGGGAAATAAAAAGGAAACATGCATAAAAAATGATTCCAACAATCAAAAGGAAGAGCCCAAGTGTTAACCTGAGGGCCTTGCTCCATGCCTGCTTTGAACGGGTCTCCAACAGCACGTTTAATGGCGCGTGCCTTTGCTTTCTCCAAGAATTCATCATATACCTTCTCATGCACGTACGTCCTGGAGCCTGCACAGCAACATTGTCCCTGCAGAGGTTTCCCATTGCATTAAATATGTATGCACCGGAATCAATAGATACCGAATCAGCAATTAGTGATTAGCAAGTGATAAGAAAAGATGCACAATCAATCATACCCAATTAGAAATTATTGACAAAAGCAAGAAATACCTGGTTGAAAAACAGGGCAAAGTGCGCTAGTTCGACAGCCTTATCCACATCGGCATCTTCACAAACAATAAAAGGAGATTTCCCACCAAGCTCGAGAGTAACTGGCTTTAGATTGCTTTTGGCAGCCAACTCCAGAACAACTTTGCCGGTTTCAGTTGAGCCCGTGAAAGCAAGCTGCATGTGATAAAATCGAAACGTCAAGATGTATGTATAGACATAAGCATATATAATATCAACATACAACAATGTCTAAAGATCAATTAATTCAATTGCTAAAGCTGGTAATACTAATTAAGATGAAGTTGCATACATAGTGATCTGTGTGAACTTGATAAAGATAGTAAACCACTTCAGAACATCTAAAGAATATAGAAAAAACAATGATAAACTAGTTCTGATTAAACTCATGAATTGGATTATTGAGCCAACTTTACCTTGTCTACATCCATGTGGCTGCAAAGAGCAGCACCAGCTGTCGGGCCATATCCAGAAACAATATTCAGAACACCTTCCGGTAATCCAGCCTACACATATAGCAAATGGTGTATGAATAATATTACCCTTCTGTATTTCAAACGAAAAAATTAAATTGCGGTGATAAATCCCCATTTTTAGAAAACATAGACGATTTCTCCAAAACTAAGCGAAGGATTCTTGTAAAGAGCTTGTCCCTGTTGCAACACTACCTCGTGCAATAACTTTCCAACAAATAATGCTGAAAGTGGAGTTTGCTCGGCTGTTTTGAGAACAATAGTGTTGCCAGTTGCCAGCGCCGGACCAACTTTCCACGCAAACATCAGAAGAGGAAAGTTCCATGGGATGATCTGCCCCGCCACACCGATTGGCTCATGCAATGTTTGAACATGGTGAGGCCCATCAGCTTGAACGGTAAGGCCATGAATTTTGTCCGCCCATCCTGCAAAACAGTCGAACAAGGCGGATTATATTAAAGTGATAAATAACTGATATCCCATTAGCTCATATCCCATCATTCATGACCTACCGGCATAGTATCGAAATAGCCTAACAAGCATTGGCACTTCAATGCTAGCAGACTGTTCATACAGCTTCCCATTGTCCCAAGTCTCGAGTGCAGCAATTTCATCATTGTGCTTTTCAATCAGATCAGCGAATCGCAGCAGTATCCTCTGCCTTTCCTGCAGCATTTCCACAGAAAAATTAGATTAACATCCATGGAAGAACATAGAACATAAAAACCAAAACGACACAAAAGATCGACATCCCATACATAAGCAGTCATTCTAGGCCACGGCCCTTCGTCAAAGGCTTTACGCGCAGCAGCTACTGCTCGATTGATATCTTCTGCATCACCCTCAGCTACATGAGTGATCACCTCACCGGTCCTGGGATCCAATGTAGGGAAAGTTTTACCTGATTCAAAGTTAGATCGATTTCTTCAACAAGAGCTGCTTTCAGCACAAATGCGAAAAAAACAGTATAGAACCCTCACCCGATGCTGCATCAACAAATCGTCCATTAATGAGAAGCTTGTCATATTCTACACTAACAGGCGGCTTGATTGGATCCTCAAGAGCAGCAGCAGTGCTGAATCGGTGAATTCCTCTACCCAAATAAGTTTTTTGCCCTGAATTGAGTGTTTGAGCAGAAGTTCTTCACTCATGAACAAATTCACCATAACAATCCAAATCCCAGAAATCAGAGAATCAAAGCAATCTCTTACATACTTTTGTATATGTTACTAACTCAAGATCAAAAGGAAGTCATAGAAACAGTCCCTAAATAAGCATCATATCTACTCACAGAAATCATTCAATTCTGCAGACACAGTGGGCTCCAAAGGCCCAACAAAATCTCAATCACTGCCAGAGATATTATTATAAAATTCAACTCATCAGAACTGACCTAGCTATCAAAATCGGAAACGATGTTCAGAAAATCTACACCCAAATTTGGGTACACCACAAATTAAGAACACCATCATCAGTCATACCTCCACGAGAAAGCAACGGAAGAGAACGAGAAACAAGCGATGAGATTCTGCGACTCGCCATTACCACTGGAAACCGGAAACTGAAATTGAGACTCGTCTCCCAATTCGATTAGTATCTCTGATTCAAATGAACAAAAGCCATCAAACACAAAAGCAAAACCAATTTCAGAATCAGTACATTGAAAACTACGATTTCATACCAATCAAATGAAAATTGTGGACATAAATGGGAAAGCACACACTGCTCGCAGAAGTAGGGCAAATGGCACTGAAAAGACTGAATAAGCAACAAACAAACCCACCATACGCATATAAAGCACTAAATCGGTGTGATTAGGTTTACTTTTCCGTGGTGACTTCGAAGATTGAATTAACTAATAAGTAAATATCTAATTGGATATCAAGAATCAACACGATATCCTTATCATCATGTCTGGATTAGCTTCAATTATATATTGCATAGTAATTGGATCGAGACTGCCGACTGCAGCAGCACACTACACCACGCATGCGACCAAATCGGAAAGCAGATACGACGAATAAGCTGATGTCCGATGCGATCCCATCCAACGGTCCGAAAGCTGACAAGGCAGTAAGGGAACTTTGCCTCACCGTTGATCTTCCGCCATTGCTGGCTGAAATTACATACGTCTTCTTATTATGAACATTTTTGTAATATTTCAGTCAACACAACTGAAAATGCAGCGATTTGGTTTGTTATGACCACACATATTAAATTATTTGAAAGTTTTTGAAATAAAAAATAAATTAAATTAAATTAATAGTAGTATCATTACATGAAAATTTACATTCTCCATCCCTAACACGTTGTAACAATTAACTTTTGGTGCGGGTAGTTGAATATAACTCCTTTAGTCCCAAACATCTGCAACATTTTATTTTTAGCATGTCCAAAACACTTTGCAATATTTATAAAATAAAAAATAATTAATTATACTTAATCTTTACTTCACACTTCATCATCCCACATCGTTCAAATAAAAAAATAAAATATATATTTCTCTCTCCATCACATCATCTAATTTCTAAATTATTCTACTTAATACTACCAACCTAAAAACCCGTGCCTAAAGCAAATATTGCACCTTGTTTGAGACGAAAAGAGTATTAAATAGGATAATTTGATAATCCAAATAATATAATGAGAAAAATATATATTTATTAATTTTTTATTTAAATAATGTAATGAGATAAAATATGAGATAAAAATTAAGTATATTTAATAATTTTTTAGGGGCATTTGGGATTTGTAGTTGATTAAAAATAATAGTAGTAATTATTCTATTAGTTAATCAAAGTGTACAATAGGTTTTTGACATTTCTGTCATTAAATTTTATATATAAAAAGTATTGTATGTTTAATAGTATATTTGTAATTTAAATAAAAATTAAAGAGTATTTTAGTATTAGTATATGATTACTTTTACTGCAAAAGGAAATGAATATTTTTGAGTTGGAGGACATAAATGGTAAAAATGTTATTTGAATCATCACAAATAGAGTACATGTATTAAATTTAGAATAGTTAATATAATTAAAATAAAAATAATAAATCAATAGTGATTTCAATATAATTAAAATGTATAAATTTTAATTTTAATATAAAAAATCTGGAGATTTTTTTGAAAGATTTTGTCTAAACTTTTACTATTTATCATAATTTTTACCTTATAAATATCCAATTAAATATATATCTTTTTATTTTCTATATTATATTAAAAAAAATTACATTAAAAACATTACATCAACCCATATTTATATAATATTATACAACTATTTCAATTCAAATATCCAAACTCTAAAACAAACGCACTCATCAATTTTAATTTTATTATAAATAATTTCAATCAATTTTAATTATACCATTCAAATATTAATGAAAATTGTTGGCGTAGACATAACAAAATTGACAAGACCGCTAACTTGGACACAACACAGTCGAATTGAACTTCAATATTTTCAAATCAGTATAATTTAATTTTGACTATATCAATTATTTTAAATTCTATATATATTTTTTAATATAAAGAATATAACCAAAAAAATAAAATTTTAGATCAAAACAGAAAGATACGCGGTTGTGTGACAACATGGTCGTATATAATTGTACACAGTCGTATTGTTTCCAGGTCAGCTTTTCGTTAATTTTTTAACGGTTGAATCAAAATTGATTGAAAATATTTATAATAGACTAAAGTTAATCCTTCACTCAACATTTTTCAATGGAACAATTTTCTATAAATAGTATTAACAAAATAAAAATATATACACACATTAATATAATATATATATATATCATATAGTCATAAAAAAAAATCAATTATTCAATAAAAAATATTATTTCCTCCGCCCCACAAAAAGGTTGTTATTCGATTTTTGCTTCATTGTACTTAACATTAAAAATATCTTTATATTTAATAATTTACTCCACAAATATCATTGTATTTGTACTATAAGAGACTAATAAATGTATTTTTGTCTTTTTCTCTTAATTTCTACTGCATATTAATATAATAATTAATATTCAAATATCAACATGCAAAAATGCCATAACAACCTTCTTGCGGGACAGAGGGAGTATTTTTTATATTATCGACACAATTTTTCATACCACAAAAAAAAAATCAATTCATCTAAAAACGGTGAGGGAACAAACTGAATGAAATTTTTATATTATGAACAAAATTGATACATATTAGTTATATTCCATTATAAAAACAGACTTTTAGGTATTGCATAATTAATAAGTAATGAAGAAGTATATTAGTGAAAATAATTATGATCTAATAAAAATAATTATAGATTAAGATTAAGATGACTAAATAATCTAATTTAAATAAAAAAAATATGAATTATGAATTTTAAAATGTAATTAACATGTATAATTATATTTCAAAAAATGAAACAGACAAATTAGGTAGGATATACAGAAATAGAATTAGTGGACAAATTAAGTGGAACAAATGGAGTAATTATTTTTAATTAACTTAATGTTATAATTTAATAATATAAATTATACTCCATCCGTCTTTTAACAATTTATTCATTTTTCTATTTTGGTCTGTCCCATAACAAAGTATTGTTAATATTATGTGGTCTATGTGAAGTAGTGGCCTATATGAAAGGTCCCCACTACTCCACTATCCCCACTACTTCACTTCATTACTAATGTTAATGTGACATAAGTGAAAAGTCTCCACTAATATCCCCATTACCCCACTCTTCATGTTAATTACTTCTTCGATGGAATGAAGTAATTGAGACATGAATTTTAGACTTTTTGGTCCCCTAAGCATCAGACTGACATTCCCAAACGCGTATATGCTTTAAATTCGGTTTCCAACATTTGAATAACTCAAAAGGTGTGTTTGAGACAACCTTAGTTGGAATTCGATTCAATATATACGCTACCGTCTTTAAAGCTTTAATCCACAAGAACTCAAGGTATTTTACATTACTCCGCATACTTCTCACCATATCCATTAAGGTCCGGTTTCTTCTTTCAGCAACACCATTCTGGTCGGGAGAACCAGACATAGTATATTGGGCAACAATCTCATGTTGTTGAAGAAACCGTGCAAAAGGACCATGTGCTTGTCAATTCTCCGTATATCTACCATAATATTCACCACCTCTATCTGATCGGACGATTTTAATATGTTTTTCACATTGTTTCTCTACTTCAGCCTTGAAAACTTTAAAGGCATCTAAAGCTTTATACTTAGAATGAAGCAAATAGAGATACATATAACGTGAAAAATCGTCAATAAAGGTGATAAAGTATTTTGGACTACTCGCGTCTATGTTTGGACAACAAATATCTATATGTATAACCTCTAATAGGTTTGTACTCCTCTTTGCACCCTTTTTAAATTTGTTGGTTTGCTTACCTTTAATGCAATCCACACAAGTCTCAAAATCAGTAAAATTCAAGGTACCAAGTACTTCTTCATTTACCAATCTTTTAATTTTCTCAATGGAGATATGTCCCAATCTCCCGTGCCACAATATAGAGGAATTTTCATCCATAATACATTGTTTAGTACCGACATTATCTTGAACGTGTAAAGTAGTTGGGCAATCAATATTTTGTATATTAAGTCGAAAAAGACCATCACTCAAAACTCCATTTCCAATGACATTTGATTTGAAATATAAAAAAAAACCAAGGTTGGTGAAAGTAAAACAGTAGCCACATGAAACAAGTTTTAAAACAAAAATTAAGTTTCTAGCAAAACTAGGAATGTAAAAAGTCTTTTCCAAAGTTAAAACAAAACCACTACTTAAAATTAGATTGCACGTTCCAATAGCTTCCACATGTGATGACATTTTGTTTCCAGAATAGATGCTCAACTCACTTCCCACTGGTTTCCGCCGGTTTTGCAATCCCTGCATGAAATTCGTAACATGGATTGTAGAACCAGAATCAATCCACCATGTATTATGATTAATATCAACCATATTGGATTCATAACATACAAATGAAAGTTGAGCACATTTTTTCTCAAGCCACTTGAAGTATTTAGGACAATTTTTTTTTGTGTGTCCTTTCTTTTTACAGAAAAAACACGTGTTGGCTTTCTTGATGTCCTTTTGTGGAGGAATCTTTTCATTCCCTTTATTTTTGGCTTGATATTTCATATTCTTTCCTTCAGTCACAACCGTCATGTTCACTTTCTCTCCCTCTTCCATAAACAGACGTCCCCCTTCTTAAACACACATGGTCATCAATTCATTTATTGACCATTTATCCTTATGTGTATTGTAAAAGATCTTAAAAGGACCATATTGCGGAGGAAGAGTACACAAAATAAAGTGAACAAGGAAGGAATCAGACATATCAACTTCCAGTCGCTTCAATTGAGCCGTTATATCCCTCATGCGCATGATGTGATCACGCACACCTCTTAACCGGGTAAGTTTTAAGGATGAGAATTGCATTATCAATGTACTAGCCAATGTTTTATCAGATGTCACAAATTGATCATCAATAGCTTTCAACAAGGCACGGGCATTAGTACAATGCTCAACAGAACCCTTTATTCCAGCAGATATTCCAGTCTTTATGAATATAACACAGAGACGGTTAGATCTCTCCCATTTTTCATAAAGATCGACCTCATATGGAGTGCTATTTTTAGTAATAGGAAGCAGTTCATCTTTTCTGATGGCATAATCTATGTCCATCCACCCCAAATGCAGAAGAATTCTATCATTCCAAACTTTATAATTGTCTCCATTATGATCGGGAATATCGGATTTATCGAACAAACCTTCCTCGTACACAAAAATAATTGTGAATTATCGAATAAACCCAAAACAATATAATACCGAATGGAATTGAAGTAAACACATACTGAAGCAAATGCATAAAACTGGAATTAGAAATCAAATAACCAAGAGAACATGTCTTAATTAATTGAATGGAATCAAAGCACAAACGACTCCATGTTCAATGGAATGAATTTCTGAAATTTCCAATTGCAACCGAACGAATCGACGACGATGACAATTGTCGACAATGGAACGCATTGCGTCGCTCTAAGCCTCG